CTTTAACTGATCAAAGACTTTGTACCATTTTATCTATTTTATAAGGTTTCCTAAATTTTTATTTACTTCCAGACAACAATAGTGCCATCTCCCAAATGTAACATGATTTTATGTAACATACAAATGAAATGCATGCCTTTATAAATTTCCAAAACAAAATAATAACTGAGCATCAATTGGAGCATTAAATATATAAAAATTAATTGCGGAACTGGCTACTGGGAGGAATAGAAATATAAAGACTGTGAGTAATAAAAATATTCTGTAAAATACTTGTAAAATCCAGGTAAAACAGTGTTTCATTTTAAAGCAATCACTCCAGATATTTCAGTGTTTTTTTTACATAGATGTTGAAGCTGGTGAAAATCAGCAAAAAAACTTTGAAAATAAGCCTACCAACAAATTTATCATTGACTTTTTGTCATATATTTCTCAGATCATACACAAGTATATATGGTATATTTTATATTTTTACAATATTTGATTATTATATAATGAAAATCATTTTAGTGTTGTTCTCTAGAACTTATAGACTGTCATATAGTCATTTGTATCATGTTGTACCGTGTTGTAATGTCTCGTGTCGTACTGGCTAATTTTGTTTATTTTTCATATGCATAGATTTTAATTTCTGCTTAAAACAATATCAGTAATTGCAAACAGAAGAGTATGTATGTGTGTATATATATATATATATATATATATATATATATATATATATATATTTCTCAAAGAATAACTTCCAGCAACAATATTAATAAGCATTTAATTGTACAAATTAAAATAATTCAATTCATGTACATTACATATATATATATGTGTGTGTGTGAAAAATGTATATATATATATATATATATATATATATATATATATATATATCGTGCTACTTATTAGAAAGTGCTCAATATCAGAGATAGCGCTAACATCAATACAACCAAATATATATATATATATATATATATATATATATATAACGATATATAATTTTGTATAATTTTATATATCAACAAACAGTATTTAAAAAAATAGTATGACAAATTGGAAAAATGTTTTTGTGACACATTTCATCAGTTAGGATTTCATTGGACCAGGTTTGTTGATGTTACCACATCTACACATGCGCATAAAAAGAGACACTAGTAGTTTCAAAATTTTTGAAAATATAATTTTTTTTATTTCTGAAAGGATATTTTTTTTTCAATCTCTCTTCATCACTTTTGTGCTGACCATCCCACATTGTGACAACAGAAAATCTAACAAAAGTGGTGACATTTTGTAAGATCCTGGATGCAAATTTATATATGTAATGTCTGTGTGTGTAAAAATTTAACATAACTAAATAATATATGTATAAAAAGAAAATGTCTTTATTTATTATATATATATATATATATATATATATATAATGTGTCAGTCATGTATGTGTCTGTGTCATATATATATATATATATATATATATATATATATATATATATATATATATATGTGTGTGTGTTATATATATGACTGTGTGTGCTGGTGGTTTAATGGATAGCAGCTTGGATTTAGAATTTGAACAGCAAAGTTCAAATTTCATTTGAGTTCTTTAACTTGTGAGAAAATCTCATTCAGAAAGGTATGAATTTTTTTCCTCATCTCACACCTAGCTATGGGTTAAATAGTAGGACATAGCAACCTGTCTCTGAATTCAAAACTTAAGGTATTGATCCCTATACTTATGCCACACATGCATAATGAGGAAAGAGGGCTTGGAAAATTTGATGTTCACAAGACAGGTTATGCATTGCTTTCCCATGTCTCTCTTAATTTCAATCTGTCTGGCAAACAAGTGAATGGATGGCAGGGCAGGGTTTAGGGGAGATGTCAAAAAGAGAAAATTAATCAAGAGCTACAAAAGACGGGAAATTGTGGAGAGCCATGATCACCAATGTCCTGATGGGACACGGTATACACGAGAGCCACTCCAGGTAGAGGGTTAAAGAGTAGTTTGTGGGAATATGTGGGCAGTTTGTAGGAAAAAGTTGCTTGAGTGAAAATTACATCTCACTAATGGAATATAAAGGGAATGTGTTTGGTTTTCTACAATTTGTGTGACATGGTGGATTTTAACTATGAAGGTTAGAGCTGATGGAACAAACGAATGTAGTCTGAACACTTTCCATAGAAATAGCAATAGTGTATAGCAAGATGCTTGCAAAATTATTAACAAAAATACATTGAATAAGATGAAAACACTGAGCAAAAGATCTTCTGTTATTGGATAGTAAAAAATGTGCAAAGGAATATGTAGCGAGGAAAAAAAGCAAAATAGAAATTGGTACAAGAAACATTCCCAAATACAGGGTGCAATGGATAAATTGTCATCTAAATTGTTCAAAAATGAGAGAGGATGCGATGGATAAATTGTCATCTAAATTGTTCAAAAATGAGAGGATGCGATGGATAAATTATCATCTAAATTGTTCAAAAATGAGAGAGGATGCGATGGATAAAGTGTCATCTAAATTGTTCAAAAATGAGAGAGGATGCTATGGATAAATTGTCATCTAAATTGTTCAAAAATGAGAGGATGCGATGGATAAATTATCATCTAAATTGTTCAAAAATGAGAGAGGATGCGATGGATAAATTGTCATCTAAATTGTTCAAAAATGAGAGGATGATGGATAAAGTGTCATCTAAATTGTTCAAAAATGAGAGAGGATGCGATGGATAAATTATCATCTAAATTGTTCAAAAATGAGAGAGGATGCGATGGATAAATTATCATCTAAATTGTTCAAAAATGAGAGAGGATGCGATGGATAAAGTGTCATCTAAATTGTTCAAAAATGAGAGGGATGCTATGGATAAAGTGTCATCTGAATTGTTCAAAAAATGAGAGAGGATGCTATGGATAAATTGTCATCTAAATTGTTCAAAAATGAGAGAGGATGCGATGGATAAAATTATCATCTAAATTGTTCAAAAAATGAGAGAGGATGCGATGGATAAAGTGTCATCTAAATTGTTCAAAAATGAGAGAGGATGCGATGGATAAAGTGTCATCTGAATTGTTCAAAAATGAGAGAGGATGCTATGGATAAATTGTCATCTAAATTGTTCAAAAATGAGAGAGGATGCTATGGATAAATTGTCATCTAAATTGTTCAAAAATGAGAGGATGCGATGGATAAATTATCATCTAAATTGTTCAAAAATGAGAGAGGATGCGATGGATAAAGTGTCATCTAAATTGTTCAAAAATGAGAGAGGATGCGATGGATAAATTATCATCTAAATTGTTAAAAAATGAGAGGGATGCGATGGATAAAGTGTCATCTAAATTGTTAAAAATGAGAGAGGATGCGATGGATAAAGTGTCATCTAAATTGTTCAAAAATAAGAGGATGCGATGGATAATTATCATCTAAATTGTTCAAAAATGAGAGAGGATGCGATGGATAAAGTGTCATCTAAATTGTTCAAAAATGAGAGAGGATGCGATGGATAAATTATCATCTAAATTGTTCAAAAATGAGAGGATGATGATGGATAAAGTGTCATCTAAATTGTTCAAAAATGAGAGAGGATGCGATGGATAAAGTGTCATCTGAATTGTTCAAAAATGAGAGAGGATGCGATGGATAAAGTGTCATCTAAATTGTTCAAAAAATGAGAGGATGCTATGGATAAATTGTCATCTAAATTGTTCAAAAATGAGAGGATGCGATGGATAAATTATCATCTAAATTGTTCAAAAATGAGAGAGGATGCTATGGATAAATTGTCATCTAAATTGTTCAAAAATGAGAGGATGCGATGGATAAATTATCATCTAAATTGTTCAAAAATGAGAGAGGATGCGATGGATAAAGTGTCATCTAAATTGTTCAAAAATGAGAGAGGATGCGATGGATAAATTATCATCTAAATTGTTCAAAAATGAGAGAGGATGCGATGGATAAAGTGTCATCTAAATTGTTCAAAAATGAGAGAGGATGCGATGGATAAATTATCATCTAAATTGTTCAAAAATGAGAGAGGATGCGATGGATAAAGTGTCATCTAAATTGTTCAAAAATGAGAGAGGATGCGATGGATAAAGTGTCATCTGAATTGTTCAAAAATGAGAGAGGATGCGATGGATAAATTGTCATCTAAATTGTTCAAAAATGAGAGAGGATGCTATGGATAAATTGTCATCTAAATTGTTCAAAAAATGAGAGGGATGCGATGGATAAATTATCATCTAAATTGTTCAAAAATGAGAGGATGCGATGGATAAATTCATCTGAATTGTTCAAAAATTGTTCAAAATTGTTCAAAAATGAGAGGGATGCGATGGATAAATTATCATCTAAATTGTTCAAAAATGAGAGAGGATGCTATGGATAAATTGTCATCTAAATTGTTCAAAAATGAGAGGATGCGATGGATAAATTATCATCTAAATTGTTCAAAAATGAGAGAGACAGAGAGAGGATGCGATGGATAAATTGTCATCTAGATTATGCAAAAATGAAAATAACACTGACATTTCATTTTAACAGATATATTTACCAAAATTACACAACAATATCTTGAAATACTAAAGAGTAAATTTATTCTATAAAATTGCCATTGTCTTCAAGACGACTTCAGAATCTCCTCTAACTCTCCTGGATGGTCTCCTTGTTTAAGTTGGTAAATGCTGCCATAATCCTTTCCTTCAGTTTATCTTTGGTGTTACAAGAAGTTTTGTTGGTTTCTCACTCAACTGCACATCACACATAATAATCAAGGGAGTTGCGGTCTGGAGAGTTAGGTGACCAGATGTAAGGGGTGATGCAGTAACAGAAATTGTTTGACAGCTATGACTTGCTAATTAATCCATAGCTTGGGAGAGAAAAGATGAATTCATACCATTCTGAAGGATATTTGTGCATAAGTGAATATAACAAAACCCAACAGGAATTAATATTTTGCTCTCCAATTAACAATTCGAAGCCATTATCCATTACACCACCTGCACATCCAAGCTTACAATACCTAGTATTCCCAAGTGATCACCCATCTAGATACTGACAAGGCTCAATGTTGCTTAACTTCGTTGATCATTTGGGAATTGGTGTTTCAAAATTATGTGACTGTAAGTCAGCAGAAGGCATAATATTCAAACATGATATATTACCTTGTCATAAATCATGTGTAACAAAAATATTTTCTCACTGATGAAGACATTGCATTATTCCAAGTTTTGCCTGCCTAAAGAGCTGACTTTAGCATAACGAAACGTTTGTGAAGGAAGTTGAAATCTTGGGTGTATAACAGAAAACCAAAGAAGCTGCCAGAGCTTTGGGTTTACTGTCAAGTGAAAAAGCAAAACATTCCTTGTGAAAGAATTTTAAAGTTAAATCCTTTCTACCCATGTCAAATTAAGACTGTAGTTCATGCCAATGGGAGCCATATTAAGTACTGATTACAATATTTTTAATGCCCCTAAAAAATATTAAATGCTATTTATTTATTAAATTGTTTATTTACACTATTTATTTATATTATTTATTGTTATGGTTGGCAAATCATCAGTTTATTGCCAATTGATTCCAACTTTATAAAAATAATAATTGTAAATAATAAGGATTTCATTATAGTTGGTTCATATATTTTAATAATTTAGTAAATATTTACAAATTTATGAATAAAAAATTGTTTTCAAATTTATTTCTTTATAAATATGTTGAGATGGAGAAGTACTAGGAAGAGGAAAAAAGTCAAACAACTATGTCCTGACCCCCCAAAAGAAGAGGTATTGAGCAAAATTTCATGGGAAAATTAGCTCAGGGGGAGGTGTTGTAATCAAATGTCCTACTCTCCCTATTGCATATGTGGACTGACTATATAGGTAGATATATATTGTGAGCACAGGATATACCTGGCAGACTTGCTTCAGGAATTACTAGCTTGCTAACTGATTCCCTGTCTTTCAGTAGTGTATCCTCTTTTAAGATAAACCTCTCTTTCTTTCATCTATGCCCGTGTTGCTGTTCTTTTCACTCGAGTACCACCTTTGTCTGTTTGTAACCTCCTTTGTCTGTTTGTAACCTCCTTTAAGGATACAACAAAATATAATCAATTTGGTAAATGATAAATATTGCATTGCATTAGTTCTAATTGTATTAGTTTTTAGAATGTTATAAATATAAAATTATTCTTGTAAATAAACGATCCAATAGTGTTTCATATTTTTGTTGTAAATTCTCAAGAACAAAAAAAAAATGTATAAATTCACTTTAATCTTGTGTTTAGTGTTTATTCCAATTCTAATCATCACTTTTTAGAACAACAGACATTTCCAAGGCTTTCTAGGTAGTTAAATAGGTGTCAGGGAAGAATTGTCCTTTTGATATGACATCTTATTTATGCATATTTAACAGTTTGCCTTTCATCAATAAAAGCAGTTAATTTTAAGTTTCCTTTAGTGCAGGGGTTCTCAACCTTGCTTGCCTCAAGTACCCTTTTCACCATTTGTTAGAATGCCATTCGCCCCCTTCCTTTTCAAGGTGACAGGCCAAATAGTCCAAATTCTATAATCGCTCTCCTCCCCATCTAAACATACTGTGGTCACAATTTATCCCTGAAAATCCAAAATTCACCTCCTGGGGGTGAATTTCACTCCTGTTAAAAACCCCTGCTTTAATGGCTCACAAAGTTGTGAGCCATATTTTCAGTATTATGATGCATTCAGGTGTTTATCTCTCCTCATACTGGGTCCATGAGAAGGTGACAAATTGCATTACTGTCTGGAATGATCACAGTTACTACACCTGAGCAAACTGAGTGTGTCTATATGTTTTTATAAAAAATTCTTTAATTATCTTTTTAACTGTCTTTTACTATTAGATGTTTTAAAAGTATTATCTACAAGGAGTTTTCTTATAGATATGGGGTGTTAAGTATGAGTGCTTAAGTGCTTTCTTATCAAACTAAGATCACTCAAGTGGTTGGTTAGATGGCTACTTAAAGATATTGTCAAGTGACCAATGTATTTGTAGTTTGATCTTTATTACAAGGTTCACAGCCTTGTAGAGGACAATGAAATTTATAATACATTGGTGATTTGAAGCTTAGATTTTATGGGCATGTTATTGATAATTATGAGTTATAATTATCAATGCCAACATGGTAAATAAAAAACTTTCCTTGTCTGTCACATTCAATGAAATATGTATAAAAGAAAGAGTGCTGTCCAAATATACAATATCTGTGTGTGTATATATATATATATATATATATATATATATATGAAAAACAACCCTAGTCTGATGCAGTCTTAAGGGAATAAATATGTCAGAGGAAAACTTTTTCCATTTTGTCACAACTTTTCTCCAAAACTGTTCTCAATATATAAAAATTTATATATCATTATCCCATATGTATGTATGTATGTATATATAAATATTTCCTAAATTTTCACTTGAGGATGAAACAGGGCTTGATACTTTAATTCAATTTAATTTTAATAATTATATTACTTTTTTTTGAAACATGAGAACTTTAATTTTTTAAAATAATATAATTTAATACTTGTCTGGAGCTGTTTTTTTTTTAAATAAAAACAAAATACTAAAGAACTCGATTTTACCTAACGTGTTCTTTCCTGTTTTTCTACACACACAAACACAGTGTGTGCATATATATATATATATATATATATATATATATATATATATATATATATAAAACAGTGTGTGATATATATATATATATATATATATATATACAGTCTGACTACCTCACACATCACCAAGGTGAGTTTCATCAGTATTCTTCCTTTTCTTTTTTCTCATCATTTCACCCCATGTAAGGCAATAATGTCACTAGGATGCAGGGGATTACAGAAAGAGAATGAGAAGACTTTAGTGAGGAAAAGGACAAAAGAACAGGTTTAAGGAAGACAGAAGATTGTGATTGAAATTGCATTTAAATTTTTGAAGATTGTAAGTGGTGTGGAAGCAAAAAAACTGAAAGGGAGTTCCACAGGTGAGAAGTGCAAGAAAAGAAACTATTAAAATAGAACATATCGTTGAATCTAGCTAGTAAAATGGTGAGACCTAGTTCTAGATCTAGTAACATGTTTAAATTCATGCAGTCAAGGCACCAAGAAGGAAAGCTCATCAGAACAATTGCAAAAAAAAATATCTATAGAAAAGACAGAGGGAAGCCATGTCACATTGGTGGGAAAGAAACTGAAGACAAGATGCCAGGTCAAGATTGATGACTACCAAAGTTTTTATGTTTTGAGTTCATCATGATGAGTACATGATATGTGTATTACCACAATGTTGACCACCTGATGATTGCGTACTGGTGTATTCATGAAACTAAATAATCCCTGTTGCAGACACTTTCTTAGGCACATTTGTGTTTTTTCAACGTCAACCTGTAGTTTATTCTGCAACTATGCTGAGCAGATCTTAGTTACAGTTTCTTGGAGAGAGCACATCATCTGGTATGATGAGCAGTTTGAGCAACACCAGTATGCAGAAATCCTTGGTCATGTTGACTTGTGGCTTTATCACAAGTATCCATAACAGCTTTCAAACAGTTATGTTACTCCAATTTCATTCACAAGACTTTGGCCAACTTCTGATGTGGTTTTCAGGCACTTTCCAAAGTTGCTACATGCTGGGTTCATTTCCCTGATAATATCTAGAAGTCATCTTCCTGAGAAATTGACCATAGTGAGATTCGAACACGGGTTTCATGGTCAGAAACCAATATTCTAACAAATTGGCCACCCCCACTACACAATATCTTAGATTATGAAAATGACATAGAGAACCAAATATATTGATTACATAACTGATATACCAGAATTCAAGATATTATCTAAGATTTTGCTATTTTCTACAGGTATCTGATATCTCTTTTGTTGATGGTGGATTCTCATAATGTCATGGACACCAAAAGAAACTGCACTGTGTTTGAGAGATTGAGCATGTTCTCTTCATGGTGTTGACCATCTTGTATGTAATATTCAAATCTTAGATATTATGTTGAACTCTTGTATATCAGTTATGTAATAAATATATTTGGTACTCAATGTGATTTTTATAATCCAAGATACTTGCCTTTAAAATGTGTCTGATCATTATGGGACACCCTGTGTGTATACATATATATATATAAAATATAAATATACATATATATATATATATATATGATTGAAAAAACAACTCCCCATTTTAAAATTGAAAAGTACTTATTTTTAAATATTAACTATAATTTTTACAAGAAATGGATATGAGAGGAAAGTGTTTGGCATGAGGTTTTATCTAAAATTCAATATGGACACCAGATTTTGCTACCAGCTTCTCAAGCTGCCTAGGAATTGTGTAAAATGATTTCAACAGGAATTCGTGTAGTATGGAAGACATAACTTCTTGGATTCGCCCTTCAAGTTCTTCCAAAATCTTGGTTTGGTATTGTAGACTTGCTCCTTTAACCAACCCTAAAGAAAAGTCACAGGGTGTTAAGTCAGGACTCCTGGGTGGCCACTCATGCATAAAATAGGGAGTTACTTTTCAATCACCCTGTATATATTTTTTATATACAATGTGGGAAAATGATATATAAATTGTTATATAGCAAGAACACTTTTAAAGTCTCATATATACAGGGTGGCAATAAAGTCACTATATAGTTACTTATAATAAAAAAGCAAAGCATTGAAGCAGATGGCTTGCAGTTCGAACAGTACTGGTAATTAATTTACTTTTGTTTACCATAGCATTTTATTGTTATTAACCAGAATTAACCAAGCCCATTTTAATAATAAATTTCTGGGCTGTTGATTACTTGCTTTGTCTGAATTGTTATTGTAAGTAACTGTATAGTGACTTTATTGCTACCCTGTGTATATATATATATATATATATATATATATATATATATATATATATATATATATAAAAAAAATGGAAAAAAATACCGTACCAATAAACGGAGATATAAAAAAGTGCTCAGTGCAGCTGCCTTGAAAAAAGACATGACAGCCACCTGAAGAGATCTGAAAGTTGAAACCAAGGTAGTGTGTGATTATTTAAGGTGTTTTTACCCCATTATTATATATAT